ATTATTTAAATAATAAAGGATTGTATTTTTAATATAACTATTAGTGTAGGCAAAATTTAATTATCTTTTGATATAATTATTACTATTCATGTTTATATGAGATAGAATTTTTTATTTTTCAAAGTAGCATTTTTATCTTCCAAAACTTTATAACAGTTGGATCATCTAGGGATCTAAATTACAATAATTTATTATGACTCATTGAAGTATATATTAAGTTATTGTATATTAAAAAAAATATAGAAGAAGACTTTTTGACAATCAAATGTATATATTAAATATAATCAGAATATTGAATGATATAATTTTTTTAGTGCAATTAATTGATTATTTTAAAAATTTTTAATACTATTAATTCAAATTTGATTGATTAAAATATTAATATTATAGTTTATTTTATATAACATATTTATAAAGAATCATTCTTTTAGTCTAAAATGATGTTATCAAAGGTATTAGTATAATTTTATTTAAGATATATTAACTTCACAAAAAAGCAATTCAACAAAAAGTTTCATAAAATATTTTTCTAAATCATTCAATGATTAAAAACTAGTATCTATTTATGTCCTATCAATTAATAAAGTATTAAGTTTTCATAATTTTGCAAGTTCATAATTTTTGTAATTATTGGGCTATTAATTCATAATAATATATTTAAATTATTTATAGTTAAATAGATATGATACTTTATTATTAATAGGATGATAAAGTTTCTTAAAAGTTAGAAAAAAAATTATTACAACAATTAATGTCTGATAAATGAGGATTGTGATAGAATAATAACAATAAGGGAAAATTTTAGAAATCCAAATTTTGAGCTTAAGAGAAATTAAGATTATGAATTAGAAAAGTTATATTAAGTTTAATTGATTGAATTTATGTAGAGACATTTTGAAATCTAGTTTTTTTAGGATATGTTTAAGATGTAAAAATAATTAAGTAATAGAATAAAAGAAGAGTAATTTAGGATAGAGAAATGAATGAATTAAGAGGAGATGATGACGAAAATGATGATTAATTAGGGGGAATTTTCGATTATAATCAAGTTATTAGGTAAAGGGTAATACATGAGAAATTAATAAGATGGTTTTAATAGATAATATTAAAAGGATATTCTAAAATTAAAAGTAGATAATATTGATGATTTAGATAAGAAGAAGATGATGGAATTCAAATTTTAAATTGATAAAAATGTAACCGAATATGAATATGAGCATTTTATATTTAGAAATGAAATTTAGACATAATTGCAAAAGGAGAATGTAAATAATTTTGATTATTCTCTAATTGTAACAAGTGAACAAAAATAAAAATAAGTAGATTAATAAGTGAAATGTTACTTATATTCAAAAATCATTTATAATCATATTTTA